GGGAGTTCTGTCACTGCTGCCCAGAAGCTCTTTCTGTGTTCATGTTTTCCTCATTCTCATCTCGGGTTTCTGCCATCTCCACCGAGATCCCTGCCAGTGGACAGAACTGGAGCGCTCTTCCTCCCACTGGCTGACAGTGAGGGTGGGACGAAGCCACAAGGGCCAGCACCACAATGCAGGGCTCTTCTTGGCAATCCAATTTGGAATTCACAAATCATTTTCTTGTACAGTAAAAAACCACAACAAAAGTTATAAATGGGAGTTCATTTCTACCATCAGAACATTTTAAGTTAAACAAGTTAGTGTGTTTGGGCTTAAAAGCTAACCATTTATGACATTTTTTAATGGGTAAAAAATCCTCTGAATTCCAAAAACTTGCTTGTAAATGACCATTTGAAGGATGGAGACAGGAAGTACTTGATAGAGTCACATAAAATGAGTGTTTCTTGGCTCCAAAGTCAGCAGGGCAGTTGAAAGGACAACTGTCTTTGGTTGACAAAGCCACATGCAGACCCCCTCAATGTACTGCGTGTGAGAAGCGGGGCTTGGCAGGCAGCACCTGTAGGCACTTAAGTGTATGGGCCACTGTGAGTGCAACTAAACACAGTTGTTGCTTTTTGAAATTTTAATAATGATGAAGATATTTCTAGCACTTGGCATTAGCTTTGTAGGCACTCATACCTATAGCTACCACCACCCAAATCCTCTCCTGTGAACTGTTGGTCCAACACGAGTGAAGTGTAGGAATTGAGACTGTAGCCCTTTAGAGCCTGCATGGAACAAATTGGAAGCAAGTATCTTTGCTGGCAAATATCATGGAATTGGCCACTTAAGATTCTGCTGCCAAACTACTTAATCTCCTGGCCTAAGGTCTCAAAGTCTCTTCCGGAAACTATGAATATGGTCCAGAGATTCTGCAAAGCTTTATAAAGCCTAAGCAAACTTTTCTTCCTCTTTGGTATACCTGAGCAACTGACTTTTTTCTAGAAAGGTGTCAGAAACAGACCAGAGTCAACAGTCACTTATGTAAAGCTGATATTTTAGAATAGCTCTTTAGATATTATTAAAGAATTCAAACCTAAGAACCCAAGGTTCTGGGGTATCTCTTCTTCCCACTGTCAACAGGAATCAAGTAACACATACGAAGGATTTAAATAACCCCATTACCTGGATATGTCTGGAGAGTTTTAAAGTCTTGCAGGAGTCAGTGGGCCTTGGCAGACAGCTTATGAAAGGAACTGCCCACATTATTGGTAAGGAGCAAAGGCCTAGACTTAAGGTTGATGAGCAAAAAGGGAACAATTCACAAGCAAAACAGCCTTAAAAAGACCAAAACCAGTCCTTTGTGAATGAAAGGCAGAGAATCCTCTGTAAGATCTGGCCGAGGTGTTAGACGGCAGAAATGGGCATCTCAGAGGATCAGGGTACACAATCTTTCTAGAAAGCATAGGCTGAGAACAACTTTTTGGTTTTTGTTGACAGCTGCTGAGGAAAAGCAATGAAGATGTTTCGAGAAAAGACTGCAGAACAATACCATGGGGCTGAAGTGAAAAGGAGACACTGGGGTTTAGCAGCAGTTGTCCCAGGAATGGAAACCGCATCCATGAAGGGTAAATGGCAGGAGGATCTAAGGGGGTTTATCCAGATGCCCCCACCCTACCCTGCTAGTGTTTTGGCTTATGCTTTCCTCCTCTACCCCACAGCAACGGACAGGTGGTTCTGGTTTTCTTTCAAAGGCTTTAAACTGTGCTATGCTGTTAGTGATTCCCAGACATCAGATTAGCTGGCAGATTGCTGATACACAAGAATGTGGAAGAGGCCCCTTCGTCAAGCCTCACTGTGGCCTTGCACCATCTCCCTACCCCGCCCGTCTCAGAGTTCCTCACATCTGGAATTACAAGTGAGTGTACACCAGGGGAGTCACATTTTATCCCCACAAAGAAGTGTCTCTCGGCAGTCTGGAAAGCGAGGTCCTCTGCGGCTCTCGTGATGGCAATGGAGCCTAAGCAGCAGCTTCAGATACACAACAGACCCTCTCCCCACCCCTACTGCTTTGGGCTAAAATAAACTATAATATTTGAAATCCTATCTCTTGAGTTTCATGTCTGGCTACAGGGGAAGCAGCAGCTTCTTTTAGTAGAAAGAGATGCTGGATTTGCCTCCGGGTGGGTTCAGGACTTTGTTGTGAGAGCGAGGCCGCGGGCCCAACCTGGGCTCATGGCTGTCCAGCGTGGGTGTGGGCTGGGGCTCCTGGGTGCACTCGGCTTCTCTCCGGCTGCCTTTCTCACCAGGCTCTTCTCTGGGTGAGGTGCTCATTGCAGCTGTGGGACAGAGTCAGCACACCGTCCCATCAGAGGCTGCCCATTACCTGGACAGGCCAGCTGTGCACATGGGAAGTCTGCGACATAGACCAGCTAGTAGGAAATGCATACCATGATGGGAAAAGAGAACAACATAAAGCCAGGCTTCCATCTTTTACCAAGAAGACTCACTGCGATTAGCAGAGGCCATCTGTGAACTGGGCATAAAGGTGGGGCTTAGTACTCTAAATACTCCTTGCTAAATTCCTAAATAAGTTGATTGTTTCTTTATATTGCTTGTTGGACTTCATTTCCATTTCTTCCACCTCAATTATAAAAAGGAAACCTTCTCGAAATGGGCATAGCAAGGAGGAGAGGGAACTCACCTTAACTGGAAGGTCTAAGGGTGAGGCAAGCCTTTCTGACACTGTTACTCTGGACTTTTTGAATGCATGAATTCCTATGTGTTTTGGTCATCCATTGAGGGAAATGGTGACCCAAAGGCAGAAATCAGTGCCCACAGTGGGCTTAGAGAACCATGGTGGGTCTCTGCATGTGATATCCAGCCTGACCACTGGAGCAACTCCCAAAACTTGGGTAACCAGTTATGGAGGCACCACCTCTCCCCGTCACATGCAAGCCTCACATTTTCCTTCTCACTTCTCATCCTCCTTCTCCTGCTCTCTTATGCCCTTCTCTTCTGCATTAGTTCTGCCTGCTCTACCCTTGGTCACAAATTCATTAAAGGTTTTGGATCCCTGCCCTTCACTACACAAAATCAGCTTCTAGAAGAGGACACCTTGGTCTTAGGCCTAGGCTGATTAACAATGACAAGAAGTGAAGACAAAGTCAGTGGTGACCAGTTAGAAGTCTTCACCAAAAATACCTGAGCCCATTTCCCCGGCATTCCTCAAACACTCAATCCTCTTGGCAATAAACACGACCTTGCTTGTTTTCATCAGCTGGCCTAGAAGGGGCACAGGAACATTCCCTCTCATCCTCCGGGGGCACACCAGCAGCAAGTCCAGGGTGAGAGCACTCGGGCAGGGACAGAAAGCAGAAGCTCACCTTTAAGATCCAACTTTGGGTCTTCTCCTTCATACAAGAGCACGTGGTCCTGCGACAAGCCAAATCCCAGGTCAGCACGTGGTTCAGAAACTTTTTACCCTCATTCAAATGGACAATGAAAATCAGGGCACAAGTGACTTGGGTTTATTTTTAACTTTTAAAAATGTTTTTACTATGGACAATTTTAACCATAAGCAAAGTGGAGAGAATGGTACTCTGAACCCCCACGTAACCCGCCAAACAATGACATCAGCTCAGTGCCTCCCTGGGCTCAGCCACACAGTTGTCCCAACCTCACTCCCTCCACCCACTGTGGGATTATTTTAAAGCAAATCTCAGATATTTCATTCATCCATAAATATTTCAAGATCTGGCTCATAAAAACATCCTTTAAGGGCTGGCCCGGTGGCGTAGCGGTTAAGTTTGTGCGCTCCACTTCGGTGGCCTGGGATTCGCCGGTTCAGATCCTGGGCGCCGACCTATGCACTGCTCATCAAGCCATGCTGATGCGGCATCCCACATAGAGCAACTAGAAGGATGTAAAACTATGATGTACAACTATCTACTGGGGCTTTGGGGAGAAAAAAGCAAAAAAGGAGGAAGATTGGCAACAGATGTTAGCTCAGGGCCCATCGTCCTCAAAAAACAAAAATGTCCTGAAAAAAAAAGATATAACCATAATAAGTCTCACAACTGCAAAAATGAATGATTCTTCAAATGTCTAACATCTCGTCAAATTTTAAAACATTGGAATATGTTTTCAAGGCTCATCCATGTTGTATCATGTGTCATTCCTTTTTATGGCTGAATAACATCCCATTATGTGTACAGCACATTTTTTTTTATCCATTCATCTGTTTATGGACACTTGGGCTGTTTCCACCTTTTGGCTATTGTGAATAATGCTGCTGTTAAAATAGGTGTACAAGTATCTGTTCTGAGTTCCTGTTTTCAGATTTTTTGGGTATATATCTAAGCTGGGTCATATGGTAAATTCTACTTTTAACTTTTTCAGAAAGTGCCAAACTGTTTTCCACAGTGGCTGCACCATTTTACATTCCCAATGGCAACGTTTGAGGGTTCCAATTTTTCCACATCCTCACCAACATTTGTTATCTTCCTTTTTCTTTTCTTTTTTGCTAATAGCCATCCTGGTGGGTGTGAAGTGGTATCTCATTGTGATTTTCATTTGCATTTCCTTAATGACTAAGGGTGTTAATCTTTTCATGTGCTGATTGACTATTATATATATTTCTTTGGAGAAATGTCTATTCAAGTTCTTTGCCCACTTTTGAATTGGGTTGTCTTTTTGTTGTTGTAGTTCTTTTTATATTCTGGATGGCAAACTTTTATCAGATATGTGATTTGCAAATATTTTCTCCCATTCAGGGGGTTGTCTTTTCATTCTCTCTTTTTTTTGGAAGATTCGAGCTGAACTAACATCTGTTGCCCATCTTCCTCTTTTTTCTTCTCCTTTATCCCCAAAGCCCCAGTACGTGGTTGTATGATAATTTTAAGTCCTTCCAGTTCTTCTACGTGAGCTGCCACCACAGCATGGCTACTGACAGATGAGTGGCGTGGCTATGTGCCTGGGAACTGAACCCGGGCCACCAAAGCAGAGCATGCCAAGCTTTTAACCACTAGGCCATCAGGGCTGGCTCTCTTTTCATTCTCTTGATAGTGTCTTTTGATGCACAAAAGTTTTTAATTTTAATGAAGTCAATTTATTTAAATTTTATTGCCTGTGTTTTTGGTGTCATATTTAAGAAACCACTGCCAAATTCAAGATCATGAAGATTTGTCCCTATATTTTCTTCTAAGAATTTTACAGTTTTAGCCCTTAAATTTAGGTCGTTGATCCATTTTTAATTAATTTTTGTATACGGTGTAAGGTAAGGGCCCACTTTCATTCTTTTGCTTGTGCATATCCAATTTTCCCAGCAGCATTTGTTGAAGAGACTGTTCTTTCCCCCACTGAATGATCTTGGCACCCTGGTGGAAATATCAATTAACCACAGATTTGAGAGCTTATTTCTCGGCTCTCAATTCTATTCCACTGATCTATATGTCTATCCTTATGCCAGCACCACATCATTAGCTTTGTACTAAGTTTTGAAATCAGGAAGTGTACGTCCTCCAAGTTTGTTCTTCACTTTCACGATTGTTTGGCTATTCGGGCTCCCCTGAGAGTCCATATAAATTTTAGGATGGGTCTTCTCATTTTTGCAAAAAAACAGGGTTGGGGTTGCATTCCTAAGTCTCTTTTTAATCAGGAGGCTCTCCCTCTATTGCTGCCATGTAAATTCCTGTATTTTGCAGTACTCTGATTGAATCTCTGTGGTGTCAATTAATATGAGGTTTGGTCTGATTCAGGCTTGATTTTTTTGACAAGAATTCAAAGGTGGTCCATGATGAACTTTTATCACGAGGCCCATAATTTTTGGTTGTCTCTCATTTTGTGATGTTAGCAGCCACTGATCATCATTGCCTAAATCCACAATTTCATTATAAGTTTGCAAAATGGTGATATTTGAATTCTACTATTCCTTCTTCATTTATAGGCTGGACTATTTTAGAAAGGAAACTTGCCCTCAACAACTGTTATCCTGAGGTACAGTTCATGTAGGAAGTGCTGGCTAAATGCTAGATTCTGTCCTTCAGCAATTTTCAGGATAATGAGCTGGTCCTCTGGCATTCTCCAAAAGTGACAAATTTAAAGTTTTATTAGGAATTCTAACTATTTGGTGAATTTTAATCCAATGCAGTTATTGTACTTATTGATGACCACTAAAAAGAGTGAAACTTTGTGAGAGATGACTCCCCTATTGTATGTTAAATTTTATAAACATCCTCAATGCCCTCGGTGCTGTGCAGAAAAGAGCAGCAGCCTATTGGCAGTGGGCAGTTGCTGCTCCCGACACACCAAGACCAGCTCCCCCAGGGCTCAGTCATCACGAGGTTGGAATACATTTCTGTGATGACTCAGGGGAGCTCTGAAACTCAGTGACTAATCACTGCACCCAGGAAAACCCACGTCACCTACCTTGTCTCTTCCTAATAACATGTCACACCTGCCTTAGAGCCTTTTTAAAGACTACTTGCTCAAGTTTTGTTTTTCTTTCATGCCTACTATCTGAATGTAGTCCGTACCTTGGGTTTGTTTGGGTGTGCCAAGGGTGAAGTGGCAGCGACTGGGGACCCAAAAATGTCACTGGTCTTCCCACCAGGTGGATTCAGACGCTGTCTCATCTGCACAGGCGTCGATTCATCAAAGATACCACTTCCTTTCCCCCCTGCAGAAACAATCGCAGAGTGGTGAGCAACCCAGAACATCCATCTGATCCTACACTCCACATTCGTCACTTCAGAGATTCCTCTCATAGTAACACCCTAGTGCCGGTCCTGAGTTCAGGCCAACAGGGGTGGGATGATCAGGTTGACAAAGACTCCTAAAGACCTATGACAAAACCAACACCTTTACTGGGGGCCTGCATTTCTGGAGCTGAGCTGAACTGGGCTGGCCTCTAGAGATGAGACAGTGAGATGGCATAAAACAGCACTTCCCCCTCTAGAAATTTCTTTAACCTTGAACTTTTCATCCTTTCCTGTTAAAGAATCTTCTTCATTAAACCTATGAAAAGTTCTTTAGTAGATTAAAAGCAAACAGCTGCTAAATTTCTAGGTCAGATAGAACTGAATCTAATAACATGCCCTATTCAAGGCAAACCTGTAAACTGGAAAATAACATTTATTAGTCATTCTTCTGATTTCATTCAGGCTGCCACTCCCAGTGTGACAACTAGATATGCCAGCGAATTACAGACATTTAACTTCTTTGCTGCCAACTATAAGTGATTTGATCAACCCTAATGAAATGCATCTAAGGGCCAGTGCCCATGGCTTAGCGGTTAAGTGCACGTGCTCCGCTACTGGCGGCCCGGGTTCCGATTCCGGGCGCGCACCGACGCACCACTTGTCCGGCCATGCTGAGGCGGCATCCCACATACAGCAACTAGCAGGATGTGCAACTATGACATACAACTATCTACTGGGGCTTTGGGGGAAAAAAAGGAGGAGGATTGGCAATAGATGTTAGCTCAGAGCCAGTCTTCCTCAGCAGAAAGAGGAGGATTGGCATGGATGTTAGCTCAGGGCTGATCTTCCTCAAAAAAAAGAAATGCATCTAAGATGTAACTTCTTATAAGCTGATGACTAAGGCACGGACATGAAAAGTAAATGCCTAAATGCCTACAAGAAGCAGAAAGATGGCTCCCATCCAATACCCACTCAGCAAACAACAAGCAACTCCTGCCCACAGAGTGCTGTGCCAGGTGGAGGTGAGGCCGTCACAAGCAGGGCTCTGGAAGGAAAGAAGATGCATCCCAGTAACTAGCTGTGTGACCACACACACGTTACTGGGCCTTTCTGTGCCCCAAATTCCTCATCTGTAGAATGGCGATAATAACAGGACATCCTCATAGCGCTGTAAGAGGATTCAGTGACTTCCTGTAGCTCCTCTGTCACATGCTTAGACAATGCCCAGGACACACAAGCTCAGCAAACATTTGCTATATTTTCTATGTACTGATAAAGAAACAGCGTCCCCAGACATACCGTTCTGTGAAAAAAGGCGCAAAACAATCTATACAGCATGCAACATTTAATGTAAGGGGAGAAGTATTCTTATTTGCTTGTATCTGAACAAAGAAAAGTGGTTACTCCACTCCCCCCAACACACAAAAGTAGTTACCTATAGCGGCTAAGTGTGTGCAGGAAATGGGATAGATTGGGTGCAGGGGCTTGAGACTGCTTAATGTGTTCTTTTTTAAAGAGTTTTGATCTTTGTTTACTGTTTTCAAGAAGTGAAATTTTAAACAGTCACTTGTGGGCTGCAGTAACCCACTGCGTTACGACAGGACAGGAGCACCCTAAGAACAACCTGGAAAATGCACCCCAGGAGCCCCAAGGGGCACTGGCCCATTTCGTTCTCTCGCTAGCGTCCAGCCCCATCTTCAGGGCCCCTGTTGAGAGTGAATTACAAAGCAGACTGGCCTTCTGGGATGCCAGTCAGTCTTCTAGGGGACACGGAGTACAGCTCCACCGAGGGCTGGGACAGAGCCCAGGCAGCAGGGACCGGGCTGGGGTCGTTGCCTTTTTCGGGGGGAGAACACACGGGGCTGCCTCTGCAGGAGAATGTGCACACACACACTCTCACGTAACTCTGGGGGTCGCCATGTACACACACAGTCACGTAACTCCGGGGGTCAGCGTGTGCATACACACTCATGTAACTCTGGGGATCACCGTGTGCACACACACTCACGTAACGTCAGGGGGTCACAGTGTGCACATGCACTCACATAACTCCAGGGGTCACCATGTGCACACACACTCATGTAACATCAGGGGGTCACAGTGTGCACATACACTCACCTAACTTCAAGGGGTCACCATGTGTACACACACACGTAACTCCAGGGGTCACTGTGTGCACACACAGTCACGTAACTCAGGGGGTCACCGTGTGCACACACACTCACGTAACTCCAGGGGGTCACTATGTGCACTCACCTAACTCCAGGGGGTCAACGTGTGCCCACACACACTCACCTAACTTCAGGGGGTCACAATGTCAACACACACTTACGTAAGTTCAGGGAGTCACAAACCTTCTGACCCTCAGCCACGGGCCTCCCAGGGATCCACACACCCCGAGCTGCAGACCCTTGGCCGGAGAACCAGCACAACATGGTGTTAAGGGCAGGAATCTGTAGTCAGACTCCCGGGGCCCCTGCTCAGTCACTTACCGACTGTGTGAGCCTGGACAAGTGACTTCAACCTTCTTTTGTCTCATTTTCTCGACTCTACCAAGGTAAGAAATGATACTAATACCTAGCTAGGGTCACTGGTGAGACGAATGAGTTAATACATGTAAAGGGGGTAGAGCAGTGCCTGGCAGGGTAAGCCCTCACTGACGGAGCCGGGCTGCTGTTTTCAACAAGACCACAAAGTGGAGAACTGCGGCCTGAGGCCATCCCCTTATTGCGTCGTTTCTGGTTGTGCTACAAAGGCTAAAGCAAGTTCTTTTTAAAATGTGCTATCAGCTTTTGTAAAAATGGAGGATAAAAGTAATTCAATTTGAAGTTTTTGGCTAAAGACACGGCTCATTTAAAATTTTCTCCTCCTCTTTTTGCTGAGGAAGACCAGCCCTGAGCTAACATCTATTGCCAATCTTCCTCCTTTTTTTCTCTTTTTCTCCCCAAAGCCCCAGTAGATAGTTGTATGTCACAGTTGCACATCCTTCTAGTTGCTGTATGTGGGATGCCGCCTCAGCATGGCCGGACAAGCGGTGCGTCAATGCACGCCCAGGATTAGAACCCAGGCCGCCAGTAGCAGAGCGCGCGCACTTAACCACTAAGCCACAGGGCCGGCCTCTCTTGTATAGTTTTACCAGTAGTTTTACAACAGAGTATGTGTCTAACTCTAAGCAATATAGTTCTGTTTTTGAACTTTATAAAAAGTAGTCACCCTGCATGTCTCTTATTCAACATTTTACCTGAAAGATGAATTCAGCTTTGAAGAGAGAAAAGATGCTCAATTCACCCATAATTGAAGAAAAATAAATTCAAGATATACTTTTTTAAGAAACAAATTGCAAAAGATAGACATTGTGTTGGTAAAGCGTGGGGAACAAGCACTGCCGACATCACAATGAGCGCTGGGCAACCTCTTTGAAGACAAGTTGGAAGCATCTAGCAGTATTTTAAATTGATCCGGCAACTCCATTTTGAGAAATTTATCCCAACAGTGTCTTCAGGTGGTAAGTTTAGAGCATGAGCTCCGGAGTCAGGAAAACTGGGATCCAAAGGCTACTTCTGCCACCAACAAGCTGTGAGGCTTCGCAGGCCAGGGCACCTCCCAGAGCCTCAGTCTCCTCTGCAAAAGGGGCAATACCACCTACCTCCCAGGGTTGTCAAGAGGACCAAATGAACACATGCGAAGCACTTCGCACAGCCCCTGGCAAATATGAAACAATCCACACAAATCAATCATTGTTAGGAGAACAGAGAAGACAATCTGTGGAAAACTGAAACCAGGTGACCAGCAAAGCACATGAATGAAGAGTAATTGAAACACTGGCTATGACAATCCTTGGTCAGTTTTCAGTAACCGTCACGCCGTAAGTCACACACTCTGACCTGCATGCTTTTCTCAATCAGACCCTCTCATCAGAGGGCTGTGGGGCGAAGTCTGGGAGACTAAAAAACCAGGGCAGGAGTTAGGTCTGCAGCGATGGACACACTAACAGTTTCTCCTTTCGGGTTTCCTTTGAGGATTCATCACAGATTATTTTCAAAGAGCACTTTGCAGGATAGAAAACAAACGCCAACAACGGGACCGTGTGAAGCAGCAAGTCGGCAGAGGGAGTCACAGTGCTTGTCACTGCAATTTGTCACCGTGCACAATACAGATGCTTTCTAACTCTCTGGTCAAGAGGGGCCCAGGCTGCCCCTTGGGTATCACAAAGCTAAGGAATCATGAGATTGTGAGGGACTGGCAGAGTGGCAATGCCCCCAAATTGCCATCTTTTCCAGGGAACCTGACACCACAGGGACAGCTCCAGACACACACTCTGCTAAGATGGGGCCAAGTGAGCTGGCTGGTCCTCCTTCAAGTGCCCAGGATTTGATTCCATCTGCCACAGAACGTACCACTGGGCTGTCTTCGGTACAAAGGATGTGCAGGGCTGATCGCTCCTGGCCCTGTACTGTAAAGGGGACACGACGAGCACGGTACTCACTTAGGAAGAACTACTTGCTTGTCTACTATAACTATCCAAACAACATAAACCCTCCACTCTGCCCCGCCCACAAAAAACAATCAACCACACAAACGACTAGCTTTTGAATCTACTGCTTTTGTTTCTCCAGGTTTAGTCAAGAAATATTTGCAGCCAGAATCGGGGTGGGGTAGGGACAGTTCTAGCTCCGGTTCGGCTTGATTTTATTATCTGTCTGAAATACTGACTCCTGTGTCTGGCCTCTCAAATCTTTAAGGATGGAACAAACGTTGCTTTTCCCTCATGGATACAGACAAGGGGAGCTCCTCAGGCAACTATCACTGTATGGTCACTCAACTGGACAGTCTATCCGCCAAGGAAACATTTCTCTAAGATTCTCTCCCCCTGTAAGTACTAGAAGGTGTGGTAAGTATCTAGGAACCATACAGATGTATGCTAGACCAAGTCATCCGTTTTAGACTTTCAATCCCACTGACAATCTGATTAAAAATACTCTCCCTAAGAAAAATGTTTAAATGCACAATTTGCATGCAATTTCAGGAATCTCAAGAGGTCCATGGGACAAGTGGGAGAGCCTCCCTGGTGGGAACCAGAATCCCATCATCTGCCTTTGTGTTCTCAGTGCCTGGACGCAGTCTGTTGATACATGGAGAATTGAAGAATGATCGAGCCACCTTCAAGACACAAAGTAAAAGTCAGGATAAAACCTTCCTTACATTCCAGAGCTCTGATAGCAAGGGATAACCTGTACCAGGAAAAATATCTGAAAAGATCAATATAAAGAAATAGAACTTTTATCAGGAGAGCAGCATAAAGAGAACAGGCAGAGGCCAAGGGCTGATGAGTCACAAAGGCCCGTACCTGGGGGATGGGTCCTTTTAGGTATGTTCTGAGGTTCTGCAGTTGGTCCAAAAATATTAGATGCCATCCTATTGGGCCTGCTTGAAGGAGCAGCTTCTTCTGGACTCCCAAAAAGATTGCTCGATTCTCCTCCTGGGGGCTTCATGGCCCTACAAGCACAGAGTAAGCATGAGTCACTGATGGCTGACCTGGACGTCACTGTTCAGGCGGTATGGCACAGCTAGACAGGGCAGGTGTACTTTCTTAATGTCTATGGAAAAACTACACACACCGCAATTCTTTAATACTGGCATGACTAGTTTACAGACGGCCACATGGCACACTTCCTTTACTGCCCCCTTAAGGTCCCCTTAAAAGTCTTCTTTGTATATCTTGGTTATGCCAAAAACCCTCTAGAAATGTGTATATTTTGAATTATTCCTGTGACCTCTCATAAGTAAAATTCAAGTTTCCCTAAAACAGGCAAATTGAGCCACATTCAGCAGAGTTTAATACCCATTTTAATTAGTACACAGTAGTGTTTAATACTATAAACACACTCAGGAGTGTTTAATATCGTAGCTTACATTTGCCAGGTGCTTACTAGATGCCAGCTACTGTTCCAAGGACCTTACACAACAGCCCTCTCAGGCAGGCACTATTTTCACAGATGATGAATCTGAGATAGAGAGAAATCACAAGCAAGGTCACGTAGGAAGCAGCAGAGCCAGGATGCAAACCCAGGCAGTCTGGATCTAGAGCTCAGACTATGCCCTCACGCCTCTCTTAAAGGCCTCTAGAAACAAATGAGGGGGGCAGTGCACAGTTACCCAGAGATCATGCCTGACCCCTAGAGCTGGGTCTTCAGAAGGGCAGCCACGGGCCACCATGGCTCGTGAGCACAGACTCGGTCCTACGACTCAGAAGTGCTCTAAGTGTACACCACACACTGGATTTCCAGGACTCAGCACAAAGAGGAAAAGTCAAAATATCTCTTTAATTGTGACTTTTATATTGATCACATGTTGAAATAATATTTTGCATATATCAGGTTGAATAAAATCCATCAAAATTAGTTTTCCCTGATTCTTTTTACTTTTTAAAATGTGGCTACTACAAAATGTAAAATTCCTTACATGGCTCACATTTCTACTGGAGGGTGTTGGCTTAGACAAGGGAGAGTGCCACCAACATTAATCTAGGTGAGTCCCAGGAATTTACACCAGGATAATCACCTCCAGTCCTAACGTCTGGCACATCCAATGAATCAGAGAACACGCCAGCTAGCATCACTGTTCATTCTAGATCAGCACACATGCACCAAGTGTCATCCCTAAAATACACTGGCATTCTACAAGTGTTGATTTTAATTAAACATCCATGGAGAACACTGGTATTCCCACTGCTCAGCCACCAACAGCAATATCTACCTGAAGTCTCGATCTTTGGGAAACTGTCATGCACTATTTGGAAGCTCGAAGTGGAAGTTTCAGAAGTGGAAGATCAGGACTTGGAGTCACTTTTTATTGCAATACCTAAAGAATCAAGAAATTTTCAAAGCTCTGTCCTGACACCCCCAGAGTTTCAGACCACTTTAGCAGAGCAGGAACACACTGAATTCATATGCATCTTTTCAGAACACCAAGCAAGACTTTTTAAAATGCCTTTTAAAGGAGACAGAGGACCACCAAAATTGGACTTTAAACCAGTGAGTGGCTCATGCTCCTTAACTAGTCCTAAGCAACAGGACCGTCTGTGATCGCAGACACTTAGAAGCAGACGAAACTGCAGAGCTCCACACCACATGATGCGATGATGCGAGGTGCCCATGATCTACTTCATAAAAAGAACAGGATATTTAAAATGTTTTTTGTGGGCCAGCCCCGTGGCTTAGTGGTTAAGTGCACGCACTCCGCTACTGGCGGCCCGGGTTTGGATCCTGGGTGCGCACTGATGCACTGCTTCTCCGGCCATGCTGAGGCCGTGTCCCACATACAGCAACTAGAAGGATGTGCAACTATGACATACAACTACCTACTGGGGCTTTCGGGGGAAAAAAAAAAAAAAGGAGGAGGATTGGCAATAGATGTTAGCTCAGAGCCGGTCTTCCTTAGCAAAAAGAGGAGGATTAACATGGGTGTTAGCTCAGGGCTGATCTTCCTCACCAAAAAAAAAAAAGAAAAAAAAAATGTATTTTGTTTCCTCAAAAGAGCTAGAAATGGAGCTGATCACTCACTGTAATTTAAAGTGAAGAGTCCTCAGATGCTCCGGCTAAAGGCAGGCCTGCAGCAGTACTCATCTGCTTACAGAGAGCAGAGAGTGTGCCTGAGACCCGCAGGCCAGCCACTCAGCACCACGAAAGCCAAGCATGCAACTGGCAGGCCTGTCTGCTTGGGAGGATGGGGAGGTGGGTGCCCACTCAGCAGTTAGCTTTTCCTCAAGGATTTGATGAAGGAAAAAAATTACTTCAGTTTGAGAAAAAAAAAATTCATTTTTAAATAACCCATAACCAGACTTAAATTAGAAAGGGCTTAATAAGACCTCAACTCACATACTTTGTTGGTGGACACGGTGAAGCCATCTGACTTCGGCACCTGTTTATAAACAGAGCCCTGGTCACAACGACATTCTCCGTATTTTTCTTGGAGAACTGTAGCAGGTCTGACATGCTTGGGTCTCCACAGCCATCGCTTTGAAACAAGGGAGAGATCTGCAATCTTCAGAACTGAACTGAACATCAAGTTTCATGCTGGCATGAGTTAAAATTCCTATTTTATGGACTTACTTAAAACATGGGTCTTCTTTCAAACCCTCAAGGTCCTGAAAATTGTCAGAGCAGATTCGGGGTCGACTCATCTCGATTCAGAGCTCTTCTGGACTCTTTCCTGACTCTCAATCTACATTCCTAGAGTCTCAAGTCTCCTCAGCCTCTCACCCTCCTTCAGTCCAACTCACACGTTCCCTGAGCACCTGTCACTGGCAAGCCTGCACCAGACCCTGGGACACGAGAGGGTAAGAGCAGTCCTTGGCCTGGAGAAGCTTCATGTTTCCTGGGAAGGCTAGAGCTGTGTGCAGGTGGTCTCAGCGTTCGTGGGAGCGATGTGACAGAGGCACTGAGTGTTACTGGAGCTCCAAAGATGTCCGTGGATGAAGTGAGGCCCAAATTGAGTCTGTGGTCTCCATGTGTAAAAGGGTACCATTAGGGCACAGGAGGTAAGCGATGGTTATGTGAAAAGACCAAATGCTAACTTTGGGTGGAAATAAAGCGTTTATTACATTATTCTGGGTACTTTTCTGATTTTTATTTTGAAAACAAGATAAGAAAAGGAAAGTTGTGCCCAAGAATGTTGTAGCAGAGAGATTACTGTGCATAATGGCCAAGCTACCTGCGAAGGGGCAGTGACCATCTCCATCACAAAGGCAATGGGGTCGACACTAGGGTTTCACAGCCTCCACAGCAGTCATGCAAACTGCACAGGCTGCCCCAAAAGGGTCTCAAATGGGACTGAGAGTTAGGTCGTCATTTCAATAAAAATATAACCCACAACGATGCGCTCAACGTGGCCTTCACTAGGCTCACCATCAAGTGCAGTTACCACTAGGACACAAATTACGGGGAGCAAGATGGGAGTACTGCTGAGCTCAGACATTTTGGGGATGAACTCACAATGTAGGGATGCTTCCCAATTATTTTTCCTTTTGTAGTACCTCCTCAATATATTTCAATAAAGATATTCAAAATACACGAGAGAAACTAAGGGACATGTGACAAGAAAAACAGCCACACACACAGCTCAAGTGGAATACGGCAGAGGCAGAGAAAACAAAAGCCACTCTCACCGGAGGGTCTCCATGCCCCTGACCCTCCCTCCACTAGCGTGCCCCTGTGTTTCAGAAAAGCTCCTGGGGACTGGTCAGGCTTGGAGAGAAGCAGTGAGAGAAACAGACTTGGATTAAAGTCTTTACAAATATGCATCTCCCAGTTTAACAGACCTTAGATTAACGATGGCTAAAGCATAATGCTTTTATAGTTCAAAATTCCTTTAACATAAGATAATCCCTCAGCGAGAAAACAAAAGATGTAGGGTCTTAAGAGAAGAAAACCTGGCTGGGTAATCTTACAGCCACCACTTGATTCCTTCCCCTCACAGCCAAATAAAATTAGACTTTACAAGGCCTGTCTGGCTAATCAATTCCTTTAAAATGGCCGTCAGAACACAAAGCTTCTAACGGATCCCAAGCAGAAGCTTCCAATTATATTTCATCACCCAATTAAGGCTGCTTTCCCTCTTCAATGTCCTAAAAGGAAGATTTTTCTCCTTTTCATAATATCCTCTCCAAAAACTAATCTCCGAAAGAAGTGTGGAGTCTTACTTGAGAGCACCAGCCCTGCGGCTAACTTCTGTAGCTCCAGAAGCCTAACGTCAGTGTCACTTGTGGCGTTCATTCGTTCCTGGGCATCCAGCGCCAGACAGTGTAAACAAAGAGGGAATGTACTCAATGGACACAACTGAGAAAGGGCTGGGGAGCAACCCTTGCCCAGCTGGTGTGGGTGGTGCAGAAAAGCGGTTATCAGAAACCCGATTCAGTCTGAGCACTCCAGAATAAACTTCCGGCCCATACCAGTATAGATCTAGACACGAGCGATGAGTAGTCGCTGTTCCATGGATTAATGACTCATTATTTGGTTAGGCATATTACTGAATACTGACCTAACTCCCCCAAATTTATAAGGTTTTTACCAAGTTGAAGCAATTCTCTTATTTAGTATCTATTCTATACAATTCTCTTATTTAGTATCTATTCTATATAGTATTTATCTTAATACTCGTCTAGTTTTATGCAGAGGCTGGGCCCCAGAAGAGGCTCACAATAAAGAAACTCTTGGGCATCTGAAGACCCAAAATTTCACAATGCAAGCTGGCTCCTGCCGTGACATGACAGACGTTCCAGCCAGCTCTGGCAACTCTAATTTATGTGACTTCCAATACCCAGAGTGCTTTAAAAGTTGAAAAGAAAGAAAGCAAGCTGCACTATAGGTTCTTAAGAGTTGAAGCCCAGACACCTACAATCAAACCACCCCTTCTACCACTTGCAGTCCAGCCTAGTTCCCAGTCAGCAAGGCAGGGAGGGCAACACCTGGCTTCAGGGCTGTGGGATTAGAGAGGGCACTGCCTGGCTCCACGGCTGTGGGATTAGAGAGGGCACTGCCTGGCTCCACGGCTGTGGGATTAGAGACGGCACTGCCTGGCTCTAGGGCTCTGGGATTAGAGACAGCACTGCTCGGCTCCCGGGGCTGTGGGATTACACAGGGCACTCCTTGGCTCCCAGGGCTGTGGGATAAGGGGAGGACACCGCCTGGCTCCCGGACTGTGGGATCAGGGGAGAGCACCGCCTGGCTCTCGGGGCTGTGGGATCAGGGGAGGGCACCGCCCGGCTCCTGGGCTGTAAGATTAAGGGAAGGCTCCCAGAACGGTGCCCTCTCCCCGAGGCTCCGTCCACAAGCGCACCGGCGCTGGCACAGGTTCCGCAGAGCGCCCCCCGCGGCCCCGCACAACCCGCGTTGACCCGGACTCCTGGCACTGCCCACCCCAAAGCAACAGACCGCTCGGCCGGCGCCTTTCAGGCGCGCTCGGAACTAGAAGGGACGCGCGCTAGGACGGGGAGCGCGGGGGAGGCGACCTCGGGCCCCCGCCAAGACCCTGGCGGGGGCGGGGGCAGGAAGCACATCCGCGTGTGCGCCCCTCTCCGACCGGGACTTGGAGGCCGCGGCTCCGTGAGGTCACCCATGGCCTCCGCCGGCCCCCCGCCGCCCGCACCTCACTCGCGACCCGCCCCGAGGCCGCGCCCGCGCCGCACCTGGAGACGGTCCGGCCGCCCTCGCTCTCCGGGACCTGGAACATGTCGCCCGCCACTCGGCGCCTCCTCGCCGCTGCACCGCCCTTCCCTCCCGGCCCCGCGCAGCGCGAGGCCCGCCCGCCCGCGCCCATTGGAAGCCACTGGCGCCAGTCAGGTTGCCGCAGCCTATCGCGGCGCCGGGCCCCGGCCACCGAGATGGAGGCTGGGAGAGCGCGCCGCGCTCGCAGCCGATTGGTGAGAGCAGGTGCCGCTCACGGCGCCGGGCGCCAACATTGGGCAGCCGGCCGGCAGGGGGCGGGCTGCCCCTCAGATGGGCGGGGCCGGGGCGCGGTCGGCGGGCTGGGTTCGTGCCCCTCGCGGCCTGGCGGGGCCCCCAGCCCAGGTCCCGGGTCGCCTAGGCGCGAAGCGGTGTTGAGGTCCGCCTTGGGACGAGACGTCCGGGCGGTCGCGAACTCCCTCCGCCGGCGCGGGCCGCGCTCCCCCGGAAGCGCTTGCTGGGGCGGAGCGGCCGCGATCCGACCGACGGCTGGTGTGCGGGGATGCCGGACACGCGCCGTGGGGACCCGGACACCCACCCGGGGGGCTCGGACACGCGGGTGGGGGCGCCGAGCAAGACACAGTCTAGACTTTTCTCCGGCAGCAACCGCTGCCTGGTCGCCACTGACCACTGCTGCTTTACTCTGAAGGACGCGAGTCCAGTCTGTCGGGAGACGTTTGGTTTCTGCCAGCCTTCAGTGACATGTGGATCCTTGGCTGATCCCGACTGGTGTGTTCCAGGATTCAGCAGTTCCTCTGTCCTGCCCAGTCCGGGGGGCAAAAGAGGCCGCAGAAAGACTTCCTCATCAATAGGAATCGAGGGATAAAATGCCCCAGTTGCTCTATTTCTGACTCAAAAAACCCAAAGAACATTCAGCAGTGTTTTGTTGCTAAATTACACTGTGGACAGCCCATCTGTTCCTCTGAGATCTCACCAAATGAGGGCCACTTGAGCTGTTTTTCAAGTGCACACTTTTAAAAAAAAGGCAGAAACGACAATTATTAGATCAAGTATTAGTATGTATTTATGCACAATAATAAAAACAGATTTACAAGTTGAACTGGAAATTTAAACATAAGAAGTTTAACAGCTTTTGTTTATTATATTAAATAACCAAAACACCTTTTATTCCCAAAATTGGTAAAGAATAAATAATATAATTTACAATATGGTACAAAAAATAATCAGGAAGGACAGGCATTCTGCTTTATACATATACTGTATATGTATATTTATAATCTATAAAACAAATTCACATCTCAAACAAGCCGAAAACCTTAGATGATATGGCTTAACGATTATTAAAAGAAACAGCAATAAGTTCTGCTGCCCATAAGCTCTAGAGCCAGTTATCCTGTTACAGAGCAAAGGGTACAGGCTGCTGTAGTGCTTCCAAGACTTAACTTACTTAACATGACTTACAAATTACTGTGGGATCAGGAAAGGTTTGCTGTGGGTTTCTTTCCTTTTTTTTTTCTTTTTTTCCTTAAGACAAAGTGCCCTTTTTCCTCACAAATGCATCTAATCTCAATGTCTTAAAATAAAAAAAGCAACTGCTGTTTTCCTCCTCCCCTTGTTTCCAGTGTCTTTGATTCCATAACTTTTCTTTGCACAACAACTTTGGATTCAATGGTGTGATTTAGCTAAAGATGCTATTAAACTGAAAAGGACACCCACCAGTAATGAGGCCACAGTACACAATGATAAAGAATACTATTCTGATGCTAAGAACCTGGAGATGTGGGAAAGCAAGCAGATCAACCAATGAAATGTTTCCAAATATCCCCACTCCCTGAGCAAGTACCCTGCACCTAGAAGATACCGAGAGATGAGATACATGTTATCAGGAACCTTATGTGGAATCATGAACTTCAATTTACCTCTCTGTCTTCTAGAGAATGGAATGCTCCACACTGGATACTCACAATAAACAAGCAAGGCCAAAATGCCAACTCTCTTGAGACCAGAGATAATCTCTAGAAAAGATGAATCAGCAAAAAGATCCCAGACAACATTAGAGTGACTAGGGAAAGATTTTTCTGAGAAACTGATCTGGTCTTAATCACAACATGCTCAAATGCACAAAGGAAGCCACAGGTGCCTCCTGAGACTATCACAGCTTTCGTTGGGAAGCAGAGGAAGACGCAGGAAGTGGGAGGCTTCTCTGCTTCGGTCTTTTGAAAATCCCAGCCTTGAACAGTTGCTTCTTTTTATAGGTATCTATTCATTTAGGCTGGGAGAAAATGCATCCAGCATTTTAATGCTACAAATGACACCATTTTCCCTTAATATGGCAAGCAAATGCCTATACCTGTCTGGTTGCTTGAGAAGCAACACAATTTTCTGGAATCATGTCAGCTTTATTACAGATAAGAAGAGTTAGTCCACCCTCCTCCCTAACTCACCTCCCCACTGAATGACACTGGCCACAGTCAGCTGCTCCTAAATGGAGTCTATGCCCGAGACCCAAGTGGAAGGTGCTGCTAAATAGCCTACAAAAGCTGATCTGAATCTCCAGAGTTTTCCTCCTTTCAGATGTCACTGGGTAATAGTGCCAGCCTACCCACTAGACTGCCTCGGGTTGTCCCCTGATGAGTAAGCAGCTCAGGACCCCTACTGTCTCTGGCACAGTGCACACTGCCATTGGGCACTGCTCCCAGCATCAATGCTATAATGTTACTTGGCAGCTCTGGTCCCAGAAAGCTAGTAGTGGCCTAAACTCGGCCTGGTGTCCTCACCTACTGTAGACCTAACAAAGTGAGATGCCCAGAGAGATCTACTGATCTTGTTCAGCTCAATAAAGCGCTAATTTCAGGAAGCTGATATATTGATCACAAAACACAAACTAGTTTAAAAATACTCTGGTTCAAACAATGCTGTCCATATCTCTTAAGAAAGTGGCACCATGTCCCTTTCTTTCGTATCTCCAGAGCTTTGGGACTTTTCTTAAGAGCCCAGAGGAGCTGCCCACACAGGCTTTTGTTAGTGACGTTTGTGCCCAGAACCAGATCTGAAAGAGGGAAGCACCTCAGGCGAGAGCTCTGAGAAACACTCGAGACACAGGAAGGATGCTAGTGCCTGAAGCCCACTGTCCTGCGTCCCCCAGGGCTCAGAGCGAACGGCCATGTCTGCAGCCCAGACTGGCTGCAACCGGCTGGTGAGACGACGGGATCAAGAGCGTCCGCTCTGCTTACTCACAAAAAAGACCTTTTCTCCCCCTGTTCACACTGGCTCAGCTCTTCAATGTGGACAGAGAGAGAAGCCTGTGCAGAGGGCTGGGACTGGCCTTGAGGGCTGCCTCTCCGCCACCATCAGAGAGGTGAGCAAGAGAACGTGGTCAGCTCAAGTGAGTTACAGAAGCCACATGGGTCCTGGTGGTGGGGTGGAGGGTGAGGCAGCAGGCTGGATGTGGCTGGATGGTGACTGTGTGTTGAGCTTCCCAAGGCTGAGAAGGCAAAGAAGTCTCATTAGCTCTATTCTGGGGAAAGACTGGACATCGGACCATCTGCAGTGGTGACAACTGGTCACCCAAGGAGGCTCAAGGGGCACACCAGAGGGACATGGTTTTAGCGCACTCTGACTGCACCGGATGTGTGACCCTTGCCTGGATTCCCGGAACGGGAAGAGGAGAAACAGGAGACCATGGGGCAAAAGCAGATGCACGGGATTATGTGGACGCCCTGGGGCGTACTCTGCACCAACGCCGAGGACAGGAAGAGGGGACTCTGAACAAGAGGGAACCTTCCCTGCAGAGGCCATTGGTCTCAGATGCCAAACACTAACACATTAGAACTTCAAGAACTCATTAGGAGAGTTTTATCTGTAGTTAAATGAGTGCTTAAGGAGCATCCCGATAGAAATAACATCTTAGATCACCGAGAAGAAACCTGCAGATGGACACAGGAAAGAAACCAACTAAACTCTGTTCTTCCTCTTCAATGTCTCCTAATTCTTAAAACACAAGAAAAACAATTTCCAACATGCTTAGCGGGATTTTTTCTAGAAGTCCACACAACCTGCATAAGACGTGATTCTTTTCCCCTTCCTGTTAAGTCAGTCAGAACAAACCTCTAGATGGGGGAAGCACTAGGCAAGGATCAGTAATTCTGGGGTGATGGCACTGGTTACACTGCCTTTGGACCCTCTGTTGTCCTGTTATCAGAGTGTCCTCTGAAGTGTCCGCTGTCTCAGGGTGCAGACACCACCAGGCAGAGCCCAGGCCATGCCCAGCTGTCCTCCCCCATCATCACTCTGCAGAGAAAGCAACCAAAGTGTGGTTTGGCAGAAAGAAAGCAGCAGTGGCCTGGAGCCTCCCAGCAGGGCTGGGACAGGGACCAGGAGATCACAACTCCCCAGGACAAAACAACTAGGCCAAGACATACCCCCTTTCTTTCGGAAAGAAAACCCACTGGAATGTCCAACACAACAACCAAGGCAGGAGCATGGGTGGAAATGTGGTTGCTATGCAGATCCTAACGTGAGACCCCAAAAGTGGCAGGGAACTGCTCCGATGCCACAGCAATGTCTGACGTTAGCCCTTTCAAAGAACTCATCCTCATCTCCTGGGCCACCACTGTCCTCTGCCCATTGGGACACGGCTGCCTGCATGTTGTGCATTCTGGGGTGCAGAGGTGCCTCCATTCAGACCGTCTTCCGGGGGTCCTGGGCTTGACTTATGTTTTCTCTAGTCTGAAGAGGGCTACAGCTACCACAGTTGAGGACTACCAGCCCTGCAGGCCCTCCTCTGCAGCCTCCAGGATGCCCCCGCCACAAGGTGCAGTCACTGGGATAGGTCGCCAACAGGGGGCCCACTTCCACCACCATCAAATAGAACCTCTCGGCGGCCGGGCTCGGTGATGGACAGCTCTTGGGCCAAATCGTTAAACCGAGATATGTAATCAATGCTGTTTTCGTTCATCATGCACACCAGCTGGGAATCCACGACCTGCAGGACGGAAGACACAGGGAAGACCATGTCAGCTGGCAGCTGGCCCGTCATTTGGACTGGAAGTGATTGGGGACTACGGGTGGACTTCAGTGGAAGGCAAATGAACCTGGTGTCTCTCTATAGTGAAGAGTAGAATCTCCCATTGACTGGCCATGTATAACAGTGGCCCAGGACTCTGGAGAGAATTTCAGAATCACCTCTGTGGTTTTGAACACTCTCTTTTGACAAGCGTGCACAACAGCCTACTGTGAGCCTGGCACAGCTGGTTGCTGGGATCAGAGTGGTGGTTCCCACCACATGAGACTTATGGGGAACACAGTCAATAAACAAAGAGGCAAATGGCACATAGAGGAATACAGAGACTGTGGGAGGGCCTGAAGGAGACGGAAGTAGAGAAGGGCAATAGAGTTTGCCATGGGGGTCGGGAGCACATTCCCCTCAGAAGAAACAGTAAGTGCAAAGGCCCTGAGGTAGGAACAGGCCTCGGCTATTCAAGAGACAAGAAAGCTGGCGGCTGTGACAGTGAGTAAGGCAAAGAGTGGAAGACGAGGACAGAGAGACTGGACTGTGTACAGTAGGGCTGCAGGTACTAGGGTTTTATTCTGCAGACAAATACATGGAATTTATAGTCTTCAGGGTTTATTGTCTGTCTACGTTGCTGGAGTGGAAGCCTCATGAAGATGGGGCCTTTGTTTCGTTTACTCAGTGCCTGTAGCCATGCCTGGCACATAGTAGACTCTCAATAAATATTTGTTAATGAACTGCATGATATATGAACAAATGAGAAGCCTTTGGAAAATTCTGAGTAGACCTACGGCATGAACTGAATTTTAAAGTTTTTATTATGAGAAATTTCAAACAAACTGAAATTTGTTTTCAACAAGTAGAGCAGAGGCTGGCCCTGTGGCGTAGTGGTTGGGTTCAGCATGCTCTGCTTTGGCAGTCCAGGTTCGCAGGTTCAGATCCCGGGCGCGGACCTATACCACTTGCCGGTGGTGTGGCGGTGACCCACATACAAAATAGAGGAAGATTGGCACAGGTGTTAGTTAGCTCAGGGCTAATCTTCCTCAAGCAAAAAAAGAGGAAGATTGGCAACGGATGTTAGCTCAGGGCAAATCTTCCTCAGCAAAAAAAAAAAAAAAAAAAGTAGGGCAAATAGTAACCGTCTTCCCCCCACATATCTGTCACCAGCTTCATCAGTATCAATCTGTGGCCAATCTAGTCCCACCTCTGCTACCCACTCCTCACTTCCATCACTTCTGTTCAAATCCAACACCAGATCATTTCAGCCACACGTTTCAGACTGTACTTCAAGATAATAAAGACTTTCTCAGAAACACACTCATGTTTTTAAGTGTAGAAAGTTCTTGGTCAGATCCTTTCCCTAACCACTTGCTAATTCCACAGGTAAATGTGTTTAAGCTACTGCTGTGGACATAGTAGTTCATGGACAGCAACCGTCTCTGTTGTGTGCTCCTCGCCTGCATATGCGATACGCCGCCCAGAGACCTTGTTAAAGATGCAGATTCTGATTTGGCAGGCCTGGGGGGCCCAAGTCTGTATTTCCAACAACTCCAAGGTGTTGCTATAGCTGGTCTCTGGGCCACCCTCTGAGTAGCGGGGTCTCGGCATGTTTTCTCAGAAAGTTTTCACAGAGCCCACCTCTACAGGAGCCAAGTGCAACAGCGTCCACACAAACACAGGAGGGGAGAGCGAGCAGCTCCTTGCGAGGACATTAGAGCCACAAGGTGTTCTCTGAACAAGGGTTCTGTGGCCAAACGGGTACACTGAGGGGAGGGGGATTTACTATTCTATCCTGTGTGTGTTTATATGTGGGTGAAATTTCCAGTCATGTTATGGCTCAGCTCAGAATTCTCCAAAGCTTTCCCATAAGTTCCTCCGGTCTCAAGATGCACATTAGCATACCAAGAAGCTGAGGAGTCTGCGGGAAACAGCTGTGGGAGCTTTGTTTGATCCAGGTTTCCCTCAAGAATCTGACTATGAAAGCCTCGAGGGACGCTCACTGACACCTCGACACCCTGGGAGCCGGTATCTGGAAACGCTGCTCCAGGACTTGAACAGAAGAACTGAGCCCAGCCAAGGGGCACTCGAGCTTTAGAATTCTCTCCCTTTTAAGCATGTCCTCTGTATGAATCTCTCCTACAGAACCTGTCCCTTTGTGCCTTGCATTACAGTTAAATGTACCAAGCTTCAGCCCCCCAACAAGCACTCATCCATGCAAACCGCACGTGCCACAGACACCGCTCACAGGTGGGATGGAGGCTTGGGTGGCTACATGAGCAGACAGCCTGGCCAAAGAAAAGAGGAACACTACATTCCGGTCAAAAGATGAGGGTCACGAACTGAGTCTCGCCTCCACGTCAAGGGTCTGCCATGATGCAACTCCTACTGTTATCATCCCAACCGTGGGAGCGACCCATGGGGGCATCTGTGCCCTTCTGCAGAACGCAGTTCCCCAGCTCAGCTGGGCAGCAGCAACAAGCGAAGACACAGGGAGATGCTGCTCAAAGGTCCCCTACTGTCAGGTGGTAGCACTGATAACACAACCACCTACAACCACCATTTATTCCTCCACAAACGGCACCAGCAGATCAGGACAGCAAGGCAGTGCAAAGCAGTGGTATTTTCCGAGGTCACGCAGCTGGTAAAGCACAGAATGAGATCCAAACCATGCTCTGGCTGCCTGCAGAGCCCTCTGGTCAACCCCGACATCAAGGCTTCCTCGGTTCTGATGCCTTTAGGGTTCAGCTGTTACTTAGTCTGTCATTTGCCGCCACGTGGGAACAAATGCTGGCCTAGTGCCAACAGGGCTTCCCTTCTCAGGAGAAGTCAGAGAACTGGATCTGTACATGCTATTTCCTGATGTTTAAGTCTTGACAAGCGGTTCTTAATAACCAAACATGTCTGCCAGAGAAATCTGGCAACCTCTGGAAGTGGGCGGGCAGTCCACTTCAGGTACAAGGTCAAGTTCAGGTGCAAGGTCGTGCGCTTACCTCTGCAACATCAGCCAGGGACCTGGAAACAAATGAGTCTCGCGAGTTTCCATCCAGCAAGCTGGGGCCCAGCAGGGAGGTGCCACTGTTGGTCCCGATGGGAGTTGGCAGCATCTTCCGACTCTTCTCTGGGGAGATGAAGCTCGCTGCCAAGAGAAGGAGGAAAAAGCTCTGAGACCGGTTTGGTCTGGACCAGTCCAAGGGGAGGATCCTGAGGGCTGGGGTGGCCACACCAGGCCCCCTCTAGGCATCCACTGCACACCTGTGCATGGTGCTTCAGATGGAGTCCTTTTCTCCTGGTGAGCGACACCTGGCTTTTCTCCTGTGGTGAGCCTTGCAGAGGGCCCCATGCGGAACATGTAAGTTTGCCAGATTCTTCCAGGCACCCTGCAGTGTTCCACTGTCTGCTCACCGCCCCCCTCACCTCCACATAAGACGGTTTCCAATTTCTCATGATTTGTATTTGACTTTGCAGACGTCTGCACTCTTCTATGTGACTTTCACAACAGGAAACACCCATCGGGTGCTGGGTCCCCCGCACCACCCAGACCAGAGTCCCTGATCATTCTGGGCTGTCAAGTGCGGCACCAATACACGAGGCGAACTGGGTTCGTCATGTGTATAGCACACCCCTCTCTGGGGCTGCCAGTCCCGATGACCATGTGCACGCCCTGGCTACTCTCTAAAAATGCAGAGCACATGGATCCCAGATGTGCCCCAGGAGCTCCTCCTACACAGGAAATGGAGGCCTACCAACCCTATGTCCTTCCCTAACATCCCCTTCCCGCCACACAAACACCTGGGGCCCAGTGAGGATGAACACATCCTGTGAATGCTCCAATCTGCAGTCACCACACCATAGGATGGTGAGAACATCCACCGCAGAATACTTGACTGAGAACAGAAAGAGGGAAGCTAAGAGAGCAAACAGCCAATTCCTTCTACCCTGTCCCCAGCAGCAGGCCCTAATGGGGTTGGGCCAGGACACCTGGGCAGACTGGTGAGGGCACAGGGGGCTGTGCAGGGAGTGGGTGCGGGGGGCTGTGTGGGCAGGCGGGCAGAAAGGGCTGTGTCAGGAGGTGGACGTGGGGGGCTGTGCGGGGAGGTGGGTGCAGGGGCTGCACACTAGAGATCTGGGCTTTTTTCCACATGTAAGTGATGCAGAAAAAAATAAACCCTGAAAAAGCAAGCAAACAGTCCTAGCAAGAGTTCTGCCAGGCCTGGAGCACGAAGAATCCAGACTCCAGCCCACCCCACTGAAAGTGATGGTATGGAGCCCTGCCCATCCCCTGCTCGTCTGAGACGAAGAAGCAGGTGTCCTCCAGACACTCACCAAACAAGCTGCTGAGTGACGAGTCTGTGGGGTCACTGGGGCACCACTGGGGGTCGTGGGTGGGGGAGGCGATCCAGTCTGGCTGGGGGCTGCTGGACGGGGAGGGAAGACTCTTGGAACTGTCACTGCCGTTCAGTTTTGCTGGAGAAAGAGGGACTCCTTCACCTGTCAACGAAAACCCTAAGTCAGAGATGCCATGTGGGGTGAACAGCACCCCACTTCCCCAACCGGCCATACAGAAGGCAGGGCTGGCATGGCTGTGCACCACTGAACTTGGGAGACCTAGGACTCTGCTGGGTCCTCCACAGCAGGTGAACGATGCTGGTCTGCAGAGGGGATGTCCCCAGCAGGGACATGCCCATCTTGGGGAACAGCCATGACCACAGCCACCACTGATGGAGCCGGGTCCTGTGCTGAGCCTCACCTAACCCCCTCACGGCTGCTTACAACAGCCCTGTGAGGGGCATGCCAGTCCCAGGTCACCGCTAAGGAAAGTAAGGCTCAAACAAGTCAGTGACCTGCACACAGCCACATGCTGCCAGACTGTGAACTCAGCTCTGTCTGAACCCACGGCCTGAATCACACCAGCGAGCACCACCCATGCCACTGCTGCCACAGCGCGGTCCCCGAGAGCTGGTGGAGCCAACACCCCACGGGTACCAGTCCAACCCTCTCCAAGAAGCTGCAAAACCCACAGGCATCCACCCAGGAGCAGAACCAACGAGGAAAATGCCCCATCTGATCCCGGGGCTGGAGAGGCCCCGTGGGCCCACTGTCTGTCTCCCAAGGCCAGGAGCAGCCCCAGCAGACCATGGACAGGCCCTGGACCATGGACAGCCACAGGCCCTGTCCCACCTCATCCACCTGCACTGCCCCTGCCAAGGCTGGGCAGTGCCATGTGGATAGCAGACACTCAATACACAACAATGAGAGCTGAACGGGAACATTCCAGCAAGCCTGGCAAATATTTAGGTGGGAGGTCAAGGCCCCCGAGGGCAAGCCTGGATCGCCCCCTCCTGATGGGGAATTGATTCCAGGAAGGGTGTGCAGGGGCATCCTGTTCCCTACCATACTGGCCAGAGCTGATGGCGATCTCAATGATGGAGTCACTGATCTGCGTGGCAGGTTCTCCCTGTGAGAGCACGTCCTCAGGCGGGCCGGGCAGGGAGATGTCCAGCAGAGCAGAGACGTTAGGTGGAGAGAGCCGGGTGCTAGAGCCCTCTGACGAGGGCAGAGGTGTGGAGAGCCCATTGTGAAGAGGAGCCTTTGACAGCTCAGATAAGGAGAGAACAGGCGAACCCTGGTGGGAAACAGGTATTATTCAGATGCAACAGATCCATCAATCCGTACAAAGGAATAAAAAGTCAGCCTCAGCCCCACAAGGCAGTGACCAAGTGATGGGCAAGTCAACAGAGAGGTGATGGCACCAGCGGGACACCTCATCCTTCCCAGTAAGAAACACACTTGGGGAATTTACTTCTCCCGAAACTGCTCCGGGGATGGCAGAGCTGGAATGCCAGGCTGAGGCAGCCTGCACCTGCTTCCAGCGCCGGCAGGACAGGTGGTAACACCCGGCAGAGGGTGAGTGCCAGGGAGCGCTACCAGCTGATAACCTCCTCCCCCTTGGCCCAGAAAACTCAGTCCTTCCAGAACTGTGTCTGAATCAGCCAGCCTTGCAGACGGGAGGACGGAGGCCTGAGATGGGAGACGCGTGGTCGTCCATCTAGGCAAGGTGGGGAGAAGGACAGAGTCGCTGGGCGTCAAGGGCTATCTGTGGTCCTGCCACATTCAAGGCCCACCAACAGGACTGTGACGGGGGATACTCAGCACTGGAGGGGGTCCTGGGGCAGCTACTCTGCTCAGCAGCCAACAGCACACTATACCTGGAAATGGTCCGTCACTGGCTCCTGCTCAGGCCTTGAGGGGACACTGATGAACGGGTCACTCGTGCCCTACAAGAACACCGGGAATGCCAATGAGTGCTACACACAGCATCCAGAACTCCACCCAAGCATTTGCCAGCCACTAAGCTCCCGAGAAAAGAGCTGCTGCACCCCACTGAACTCCTAACAGGCAGAGACCCAGGAAATCATCGTGGTCTAGGCTATAAACCTCTCCCTGCCAGGACAAGAAACCTCAGTGCTTTCAGAGCACGGGCCACTGAGCCCTGCACTTCAGACTGCTTGTCAGCTCAGAGCCAGCGCAGGTGCTGGCAAAGGGCCGACCGTGCCATCCTCAGGCCAGGCTGAGTGAGGAGCCAGAGAAACAAACCGGCCATGAGAGAGTGGAGAGGACTGCTGGCCAGGGAGCCACCGGGTGTGCTGTCAGCCGACCTGATTAAAGCTGCTTCTCAGACAGAGCTACACCTGCTGACTGAGAGACTTCCACGCTCTACTTAGTTCTGGATTCTCCAGTGTCACACAGCAAACCTGTCCCCGCTCTGCCTCCCTCTGTGACTCTTCCCTCTGGGCCACATGGCACTTACTCTCACCACAGCCCTCCTGAGTCAGTGACTCTCCTCCGGCCCATGAGGGCCTGTCTCCTCCTGAGGCAGAATTGGAGTCCAGCAGGACCTCAGCCCCGGGGCCTTGGCTCCCCCCGCTGGAGACTGACCGACCTATCCCAGAAGCTGGTGGTAATTCAGGAAGCCCTTCTAAACACACTCACCCCCACAGCGGGGAGGGGGTCTCCATTTGGGTGGGTTCCGGTGGAGTCCTGACCCGAGACGGCAGCTGTCACCTCGTCTGAAGACAGTGGAGAGATGCCAGACAAGCCCTCGGCGTCCAGGACAGGGAGGGGGCTCCCGGGGATGATGCCAGCACTCTTAGCTGCTAAGTCGATAGCACCTGCAACAGAAACGACATTAGCTCTGCTGACATTGTGAAGCACGCCCCAGAGGGCTCCTGGGAACAGCCTCTCCTTCACGCCTCATCTCAACGCACGGGGAAAGGCTTTCACGTTCTCTCTAAAGGATAATGAGACACCATGGCTTGGAAAAACAGACAACAGAAACGTCACTCCGAATCCTTACATGGTGTCTGTCACCATGCTAGTCACAGAAACTTACTGGCCAGGTGGCCTGCGGCCTGTGGTGGAAGGACCTTGGGCACGATTGGCCGAGACAGAGCTGCTTTGGTCAGGGAGGACTGGATGGGCCGGAATGAGCCTCTCCCTGGAAGGACAAGAACAGAAGTAGACGCATGAACCCTGTTCGCCCTGCCCTCTTACCACACAATGGGGGCTTCAGGTTTCCTTTATAGCCACAGTTGGGATCACGGAAGCTGAGCCAAGTCAGATACCACTGAACATCCCAAACACTTGCTAACATGGGGAAGTCAGAGGTCAAACAGGCCTCTGAAGAGGAGAAAGCTCTGGTATCCATGACCGCAGCACCACCGCGCCCCTCCTGGGGCTGCTGATAGGCTGCAGTCACCACTGTCATCCTGTGGGAATGGCCCATTAAGGGTGATGTGCACCCGAGCTGAGCTACAGGCTCCTCTGAGGCAGTCAGAGCATCAGATCTTGGATCAAGATTCTGTCTCTGCAGTTTGGCTCTTTCCTACTAGGTTTTCTGCCGTTGAAAAGTAGGCATGAGAAAAAGCAATCAACAGCTGTATGGGTCTCGCAGTAAGTAAATCTGAAATGGGAAAATCAAGACTGATTTAAATGATAGGTCACGGAGCATGTGTTTCACTAAACAATTCTCACCATATAAGAAAATTCACTTCAAAGAGCCAGGGTGCCCACCGAACTTACAGACCTATGAAAGCATGAGTTGTGTATCCCAAAATCACATCTATCCTGTAAAACGCCTGACAAGACATCACAGATGCTCTCCTAAATGGACCTGAGCAAAGCATCCAAAACACAGCTGTCCGAGCCCACCTGTGAAGGAAGCTGCCTTCGCCCCACCTGTCAGAGGTCCACGCCCACCCGCCCTCAGCCCTGGCCCAGCACAGGGGCCACGCCAGTGTTTGTTGATAGAACGGACAAAGTGATGCTTGAAATGTCACTCAAAGAGCCATGACAGCCACCACCTGCCATTCTCAAAGACAAGGCCACAAGCAGGTAAGGAGTGAAAAGCTACTCGAGTGCTTACCAGTTACGGAAGAATTCGACAAGATGGAGAAGGAGCAGACATTATGGGCCTGGCTTTCAGAAGGTCTAGGAAGCAGTGTTCTCTGTGGAGGGAAAATGCCAACAATCAGGGGATGAAAAGACTCCAACACCAAAAACCACTCAGGAAAAGAGCACTGGGTTGTAAAGGAAGATTCCAGATAAGAGGGAGCTGCATGTCACCAGATGGGGGTTCTGGTTCTAGAGTTGATGACACAAGGGCACCTCTGACAGTCTGAGGACGACTATGTCCTGTGGACCCCACACCCCTGAACACTGGGTCCTCTCTGAGAAGACCCAGGGGACCACACCTTCCCCAGGGAAAACTGGACGAATATCAGAATGATCCACCGTTAGTCCAGAACATTCTCCTGGATGTGGCTAGAATGCAGCTAGTCACACGAATTTGTTCCTAGCCATTGGATGTGGACTGTTATGAGAGACACCTCCTTACTGTGGGCCTTCTCACGTGTGGGGTGAAGAAAATAAAGCTGCTGCGCGTAACAGGCAGGCTAAGGGCACGAGGCGCCTGCCCCACCCTGCTGCTCTGCCCAGGCCTCCTGTGTCTGAACAAGTAAGATCAGTGTGATGACTACGTTACATTACATCAATTACATTAACTGCTGAAACTGTTAGTTGTTGAAATAAAACATTAACAGAAAGTATCTGTCAACCCAAAAGTGTCATGAGGCACTTCTGGCTTTGGGTGCATAGCTGTGTTCTCTACTAATGCATGAAGGACATCTCCGTGCCCCTCAGAAGCACCCCAAGGTGTCGGCACAGAGCAGAAAGGAGGTGCTACTGGGGTTCCCAAACTCAACAGGGAGGCCTGTCAGGTCTCCTCAGCTGCCTGGAGGCAGCAGGTAAGCTGTTAACAAGGTGAGGAGCTGTGGACGTTCTGTGCCGGCTGTTCCAAATGCACACTTTCTGAAAGGGCCAGGTGGGAAGAGTTTAGGCTTTGGGGCCATACGGTCTCTGTCGCAGCTCCTCAACTCTACCCAGTGGTGTGAAAGCAGCCATGGACAGTAGGGAAACGAATCACCGTGGCCATGTGCCAATGAAACTTTTTACAAAAACAGTAAATGTAAAAGACCACATATTGTAAAATTCCACTTATATGAAATGCCCAGAACAGGCAAATCCATAGAGACAGAAAGCGGATCAATGGGGGCGAGGGGCTGGGGGAAGGGGTAATGCAGGTAATGGGTTTTGGAGTGAGGAAAATGTTCTGGGATTAGATAGTGGTGTTGGCTGCACAACCCTGTGAATATGCTAAAAACCACTGAAGTGTACACTTTAAATGGGTGAGCTGTATGGTATGTGAATTAGATCTCAATAAAGCTGTTAAAAAACAAAGCAAAACAACCGGCAGTCCACGTGGGTGACCTGGTTTGCAACCCCGGACCAAAGAGCCATGGAGCCCCCACTCAGCCAGGGAGTTTTTTACCAAATATACTAAATATTCTTCACCAAAATATACTAATATACTTCACCAAATATACTAAAATTAAACACATTAACACTAAATTAGTCTGCATAAGAAACACTGGAAATTTAGTATACATCTTCCTTCCTAAGACCTGTCGTGCAATCCCTCATTTCTAAATAAATTAATCTCAAGAGAGGAAGAGATTTCTAAGACTCTAACAAAAAGAGACTTATGCATGAATCCAAAAACAATACACATTCATAAATTTCTAAGCCCATGGTCATTTCAGAATTGCAGCTTTACCTCTCTTATCTTTTCTCCTCCAGATAAAAATGCCCTCTTTCCCACGTGCCCCTCATTCCCCAGATCTCCCCTCTGGTCTGCAGATGGCATCTGCGGGTCCTCCTGATATTCATCAGGAGCTCAGGAGAGGTCTGGCCTCTGGCCAAGCCACAGACCCTGCCAACTGCTTCCACTGACCAAATGTTTATAAATAGATGTTCTGCGAGTCCTCAAATATATCCCAATCTGGGACATTCTTGGGACTCGAATCCCCAGAACTTTCTGTCTTTTTTGCAAGCAGTTTTCATGTTGTGCAAAGATATCTTTATTTTCAGGTACCATTAGGGTCACTGTTATTACTTTATTTATCCTATTTATAAGAAGGAAAGAAGGGGAATTTCATATGAAATGCCTGAGACAGGTGACAAAACCAGCCGGGCCAGTAGGAGAGCCCCGAGAGCCCACCCTTGGGGCGTGGCACACGCAGACTTGACAGGGTTCCTGACCTGGACCACCAAAGGTTTCCGCAGGTGCCGGTTCCTCAACTTCCTAGGCTTTGGCAAGAAGAAATCCGACTGCATCTGTAGGAAAACAGCGCCCGACCCCTGAGAGTGTTTTCTCCACAAACACGGGGTTGTTCCCAGCTAGCAGGGGCGGTGTGATCCCCAACTTACGCTGATGGAGTTTAGATGCTGACGGAAAGTCAATTCTGTTTCTTTACTGGGAGAGAAGAGCTTCCCGTGTCGGCTGTTCGGGGGCAAAGTTGTTGGGACAGCAAAAAGGCCGCCATCTGAGTCACTGCTTCCTGTACTGGAGGGACCAGCCACCAAAAGGGGTCTTGGAGGGTTTCTCAAACCTAGGCAAGGAGAAGGGAGAGTGAATATGACTACACTTACCCAGCAACACCTCCTGCATGAATGGAGTTCTACCAGGAGGAAAATCAGAAAAGAATTCTTCATAGCCTATTCAGTTTCCTTTAAAGGAATTTCCTGTATCTTAGTCCCATAAAAATCTGCTTTTCATATGCAGACTAAACAACATGCTACTGAACAACCAATGGATAACTGATTAAATTAACGGAGAAATCAAATCATATCTGGAGATAAATGAAAATGAAAATACACCATACCAACTCATATGGGATGCAGCAAAAGCGGTCTTGAGAGGGAAACTCATAGCAATACAGGCCCACCTTAACAAACATGAAAAAGCCCAAATATGCAACCTCAAATTACACCTAACAGAATTAGAAAAAGAAGAACAAAGCCCAAAGTCAGCAGAAAGAGGGAAATAATAAAAAATCAGAGCAGAAATAAATGAAATTGAAATTAAAAAAACAGTAGAAAGGATCAATGAAACAAAGAG